AGGATATCAACTTTGGTTCTTCGTTGATGATGGTGATGGGACTATTTCAGCATTGTCAATTATGAACTCTTGGTGTGTTCTTATTTGGTGAAACTCGTGATGCAATTCTGCTGTTGGTTCGAGGTCACGACTATCTGGACTCATATGTATGATGCTGTTTGATTGCTGAAGTTCGCTATTGCTCATCTTCCTTGCACGATGGGTTTCGCCTGATAGCAGCCCGGCCTCGTCAGGGGAGCGACGCAAATGATTGTATATGAACGTGTTTCACCTTGACGGACTGTTGGACTCTGGAAATCTGAAGGTTCTGGCTTCGTTCAGGCCGTGAATGTTGATCTCTGTAGTTTTGGTGATCAGCAAATCAGCTAGCTGTAAGGGCCTCACCGCACCTACTCACAGAATGTGCCAAATTGAGAACGTATCTTCCGCTACAACGTGGGAACATACATCCGGGATAGTTTTTGCTGTTTTTGCGTCTGGTGAGTGGTGTGGTGAGGCCCTAAGCAGTTCTGAAATTTTTGTGATGTTCCAATTTGGTTCCTCGTCTAAACTCTAAATGCATGGACACATTCCAAATACAAACGTGTCTTGATGTTGATGCATATTCTAATGGCTGATATGGCCACTTGTCTTGTTTGAAGTTTTTCCTTATCCATTTGTCTTTTCCGCCCATCATTTTTCTTTTTCCACATTGCAGGATCTGCATATAGGGACCTCATGTTCAGGTTGTCAGGGCTATTTCCAAGGGGATTGAGGTGATTTAATTCAAACCTCCCCTTCCTCCCTCCCTCCCTCCCTCCCTCCTTTCCCCCCTCTGTCCCCCCCCTCACCACCACCTGCCACCACCTTGCTCTCATCCCGTTCGCCTGAGTATTCTTGTAGCAAACCGGTGAACCAACGCTATGATGATCTCAAAAATCTAAAAAGGAAAGAAGTCCTAATTTCTTCCCCCGAACACAACCTACAGTCATTGTATTTGGGGTATCTTTCAGCCTAAATACAGCTATAATGACCGTACGTTGTATTTGGGGGAAGAAGGTAGTATGCGCATGACTTAAACCACCAGCTCATTGCCCTCAACGTGGTGGTCAAGCTGCCGCCGAAATCACCCGTCGTTCCCACTGGATGGAAATCGATGGTGGTGCTTGGCAATTTCGCCCGAGATTGTTCGTTTTTTTTTAGGATCAAGCAGTCAAGCTCGTTGAAAAAGAGGCTCTGGACGGACTGGTGTTGGTGGGGTTAACCTGGGGCTGAAATGTGGGGTTGTGACGGACTGGTGGTAAAAGACACAAAGGAGTTGCTTCTCAATAGTTGAGCTGAATGCTTTTTACCTGCTGGGCCGTGGTGCAGTCAGGTTCATCAAGGACCAGCCATAATTCTGATCAGATTCATCCAGTGAAGTCCCTACAGTCTTCCTGTGAACTCGATACAACGGCTTGTATACATTCGTGATCAGGGTTCCTTATGTCCGGGCAAGGTGGTAGGTACTTCACATATGCGCTTAGTCTGCGGACCTGCCTGGTTCACTTGTTGGTTGACTGACGGATCAGCTGGTTGACTGATTGACTGATTGGTTGGATGATTGACCGATTAGGTGATTGACTGATTGGTGCAGGCATAGGAAGTAACCCTGCGTGTTTTTTTTAACTATAATTATGGGGTCGCTTCCTTATGACGGTGCCTGCAGGGCAGGTGTTTTGGTTGGGCCAGAAGCAGACGATGAACTAGAAGGAGCCTGGAGAGGAAAGACAGGGGTTGCCAGTGCATCGGCAGAACTGCCAACGTTTTATGGATCGAAGTCAGTGACAAAGGGGGTCGTTGGATTATCATTTGCATCCCAAGGTGAGAAGTAAATAATAATAGTAATAATTATAATAATAATAATAATAATAATAATACCCTTTCAAACTTTGATTCCATTGGTGTCTGTGCTCAACTCGGTTATACACTAGTATTGTAGTGCACAATCTCATCGGTGTCACATCTTTTTATCTTAAAATATGTAGTTGCAAGGAAAATGAGAGAGAGCGATATGACAGAAATCCAGAATGCAAAATCACATTGAAAGCCAGCAAGTCCAACGCTGTCCAGAAAGCAGAAATGCACTGATATTCCCCCAACGGAGAACCAAAGCACTGAATCCGAATGTCAATGAGAGCATACTCTCGCCACCACCAAGATATGTATCCAAAGTCCTTCCTCCTACTTGGCGCTCAGCGCCCAGACTACTATCACACAGCCTACTCGCAGCCTACGAATTGACAATGCATCCAGTTGACGTCAGCAGCAGAACCGAAGTACATGAATATGTCAACCCTTGTACATCATCGCCAAGACCAGGTACGTGCCCTCACATCATCAACCTCATCTCTCTCTCTCTCACCCCCGACTTTCTCACCCACGTCTTCACCCTCAAACACGAAGACCACCACCACCTCCACTGGCTATATCCAAGTCAAGCCCGGCTATGGGGGCTGGCTATGGGCAGCGCCCTGCACCCTGCATGTCCGTGCATGCACGCAGCGCGAGCGCAGCAAGCAGCCCGCGAGCGATCGCTCCAGCAGCACTGCCGCCCGCAATTGCAAGTGGCGGGCACTTTCCACTTGCTTCCCATGTGAGACCGAGTTTCCAGTAGCTTCAGTCTCGGTCAAAGTGTCTGCGCCCAGGCGAATTCAGACAGTGGCCTGGAACGGAATTGGTTAGGCTTGCCCAGCCAGCCAGGCACAAACGTGTGGTGCTCCTTGCTTAGACCACGTTGCTGGAAGAGCTTGGAAGGCTTGCAAATATTTTGGATTCTCACAAGCAATGCGGATGTAACCAACTGGCGCGTGGCAACTGTCTGGCGCCCACCCAGATTTGCAAAAAATTGATGAACCCAGGGCACATTGGGATTCAGTGGGCCCGCCTTCACTTACGGAGGGCACGCGCCTGCTGCAAGGCCCTAGCCGAGGGGTAAACCCTTGCACTCCCTCCTCCCTTACTTCGATAGTCTGAGAAGTCATTATACAACAGGCTGCTTCCCTTTCAAATTTCGTTTACAACTTGAGAGAATTTGGGGAGCAGTCTTCATTAACTCTTCTCTTGTGAGGCTTGCAAGGTCCGAGGGATGTGAGGATGTAGATTACCGGCGGGGCGCGGGAGCGCTGCGCTCCGCTCCGGGTTGCGACATCGCACAGGTGGGCCATGGTGACAGCACGCGGCGACAATGGTGGCCATCTCTTCTGTAAACCAGGCGCTTTGCGCACGCGCAGGTGACCGAAAGCGCTTGTCCACGCCACGTCACAAGCTGATGTGGCGGCTGGACTAACTCCCGTTTTCTTCTTCTGGGAGTTCCACGTTTCACTCCATTGCCGCTGCGTTTTTGCACGTGGCATATGGCCTGAGAGGTGTTGGCTATGTCGACGCCTGTGGAGTACAGTGGAGTCAGCCCTTGGTAAACTGAAGTGCAAGTGCAGTGGCAACTGCAATCATGAGGAAGTAGATGTGTCAGCACAATCAGGGTGCTGCTCAACAGGGCGTGGTTCGACACCATCATCACAGTTAGGATTCGTCATTATCATTAGGGTGCTGCTCGTCATCATCATCATCATCATCAACAGGGCGTGGTTCGGCATCATCATCACGGTAATGGTTCGTCATCATCCTCAGGGTGCTGCTCGTCATCGCCATCATCATCGTCAGGGTACTTCTCGTCATCATCATCAAGGTGTAGGTCTTCACTTCTGTTCTGCACTAGTATCATCATCATTATCAAGGAGCCGTTCTTCAGGGGTGCTGCTCGTCACTCATCGTTGTATTACCATCATCAATAGTTCACCATCATAGGGCGTGGTTGGCGAAGTTCGTCATCATAGGGCGCTGCTCATCCCTATCATCATCATCATTAGGTTACCATCAAAGGTGCTCGCCATCAGCACCATCATCATCCTGTTGTCATCACAGGGCGCTGTGCATCATCATCATCATCGGTTTGTAATCATAGGGGCTGTTGGTGCTGCTCTTTAGTATGATCAGCATTATCATTCTGTCTTCGTTCTCATCACTACCATCATCATCATCATCAGTTTGTCATCATTAGATGTTGCTCTTGAAGGCGTTGTTTGCCTTTCACATCAGCAGGTGAGTTGGTCGTCACCATCATCCTCATCATCATCATCTTCTAGGTGCTGTTCATCGTCATGAGCAAAATCCAAAAAATATCCTCTACCTTTTCTCCATCATAGTTTTCAGAAATTTTCGATTCTTCCACTCATATCTTTCCTTGTTTTTTCTTTTCTCCACTATTAATTTCTGATTCCCCTTTGGGCGCACTAATGAATTATTTTTGCACGGGTGGGGGGTTGGGATTTTAAGGAGGAGAGCTCTACTTTGCAGGGCCTTCACAAGGTGGGGGGTGAAATGCCCTGGAGGGAGTGGGGGCAGATTTTTGGGGGATGCCCTATTCTGGGGCTGGGAGAGATGTATGAGTTGGCATCATATCCCAGCGGAGGCAGATAGGGGTGAGAAGTTGGCTGAGGCATACTTTGGGTGGAACTGGATGCCTTAGTGGAAGTTGGGGGAGGAAGCAGGTATGTCCCAAGTTGGAGCCGATAAGGAGAGCTTGTGATCAGGGCAGTCCTTTTCGGTGGAGGCAGCGGAGGGACAGGGGGAGATGGAGGGGAGAGGGGGGGAATAATCCACAAGTGGAATTTCTATTGTAGAGATAAAATTCATAGATATTAGAAGGAACACCAAAAGCGAAGGCAGCTTTTTGGGTCTCTACTGACGCTGAGGTGCGAAAGCATGGGGAGCAAAACATTCGGAATTCTGATTCTCCTCTTGAGCACAAACGAATTATTTCTGGTGGGGTGGTGGGTTGGTTCTGGGGGGGAGAGCTCTACTCTGCAAGGGCTTCACAAGGGGGGAGGTGATTGCCCTGAAAGAAGACGGGGCAGATTTTGGGGGATGTTCTGTTCTGGGGCTGGGGGAGATGTATGGGTCGGCATCATATCCGAGTGGTGGCAGACAAGGGCAAGGGGTCGGCAAAGGCATACTTTGGGTGGGAACTGGATGCCTTTGTGGGAGTAAGGGGGGAAACGGGTATGTCCCAAGTTGGGGCCGATGAGGAGTGTCCATGATCAGGGGCGGTCCTTTTTGGTGGAGGCAGCGGTGGGGCAGGGGGACGAGGGGGACGGGGGAATTTCTATATCCTTTGTTAGTATTTGGTGGGACTTAAACAAGCACCCTTGTCATTCCTGGTAGTTTGAAGAATCTCTCGGGACTCTGAGGATCTGTTGGTGGTTTGTACGAAGCTGCACTAGAATTAGACTGTTATATTCAAGATCCGTGGCTGTTCAATGCCAGAACGACGCTGGGCGGAGCCGGGGTGATGCCCTGTAACTTGCCGAAGGTGAGGGCATGAGGCCTTGTAGAGAGATCTGGGGATGCTATGCGGGGGCATCCTAAGGGACAGCTGGGGGTTGCTGACATAGGACGACACTGGCCGGAGCTGGAGTGAGTCGCGTTGCTCTGTAACCTAGCAGATAGGGGGCGTGAGGCCTGGATGAGTGTTCGAAAAATTGCGGTGGATTTCAGGAGGTGTTTAGCGATCATAAAAAAGGATTAGTCTTCTAATCATCTATCCCGAAGTCCAGTAGCTTGTTCACGATCTTCGAGGATACTCTCAAAGCTGAAATCGGGTAAATGACCCCGGTACCTCAATTGGTTCATAAATTGTTTTGTACATGTCTTCATATGGGATGCTGGGCCCGATTCCCAGCACGTGCTGCTCCCCACGAGATTGGAGCATGTTTTCAAAAAAAAAAAAAAA